CTTACTAGTTTTTCCACAAGAACTCAGTCCACAAAAAATTATGCAAAGTTGCATGACGCTCTTTTAATCTTTTCTTAAATAAGGATTAAACCTTCTTGTAATGTTTTATCAAATAAACGGAAACGACTAACAAAACTGACAAGTGATACCCCAAATGTGTAACATAGCGTTTTTCTCGGTAGTGGGCGTGCCAAATTCCAAATCGAGGTAAACATATTTCTTCGCTGTGCATCTCAGTTTTCTGTTGTAAATTTTTTGAAGTTAAAATGCAAAATAACTAAAGGAAATTCCGTTAACTGCTCTGAGATATCTCAGGCCAGTTATTATATAATCGCGTTAGTTTCCGAAGGTCTCTCGCAGCAGATTTAGTACATAGAGACGAGTTTATATGACTTTAAGCTGGTTTCCTGCACTGATTGTTTTGCTATACAAACCCACATATATGTTCCTGTAAAACAATTGAGTGTATTGCGGTTTGTAACTTTTACTGAAATTCTTTCCACCAATATATCTCTTCTAGGTTTATGGCTCATGGCCTAACAGTCGCTATCTTTGTTTCACTACTTTTATTTTGCCGCCCTCACATTCTGCTCCCATATTTCTACGTAACAACTTCGGTTCCGCTGCATTTGATGGCAAATGACGTCGCATTTGTTCATTTCTGCAGAGAAATTTAGTCTGCTGTTTTCCTAAAGTTTCACTGTCAATAGCTCTTGCTCTGTTTAAAATGCGGCAAAGATAAAACCTATAGTAAGGGTTCTTGATTTGTTCAGAGCTTCTCCTGTAAACACCACTTCAAAAATCATTGGATAAAATATTTTTTGCCCAAATGTTGCGTCTTGCGCCTTTTGCAACAAAAAAAAAGAATTATCTTTTTGCAAATTTGCGCATCGCATTGACGAGAATACCGTTGCATTACCTTCATTGCTAGTGGTTCAAAAGAGATACAAATGTTAATGAAGAAGTGCAATTACTTGAAATACCTGCTCCAAAGCCTATGTAATTAGATACGACTACATTATATTTGTATTTGAAATACTAATGTTTAAACTGTTTTTCTACAGCCTTTCAATAGTTCACTTAGAAGCGGAAAACTTGAAATTCGATCACAATGTTCCAAAATGCTTCGTTCAGCTAAACCTCAACCTAAAACTATTATCAATGAACAGCTTTATTCATTCAACCAGCGTTTGTGTTACAATACTATTTCCTTCTAAAGAAATATTTTTTACGAGTAATTGCACGATTTTTCGATATTCATCCTAGATGTTCTTACTGAGTGATCATCACAAGATTCGGTAGGAAGCAAAGAAGTGTTTTCAGATCATTCGTTTATACAGTACCTAATGATGACGTTCGCTGCCAAGTGAAAAATACAGTGATGCCGAAGGTGGTCAACAAACAACTACGAGAACGGGTCATGATCGTGAAACCGCTGTTAACTCCTTCTACGCGGCGACGACGCTTCGCTCTGAGCGCCAACGTGCCGCAGCCAATTA